CACAGCAACAACCAGCTCGACCCCCGCAACCACCACAGGAACCACCTCAACCCCCTCAACAACGACAGGAACCACCTCAACCCCCTCAACCACGACAGGAACCAGCTCAACACCCTCAACAATGACAGCAACCAGCTCGACTCCCTCAACCACCACAGGAACCAGTTCGACCCCCAAAACCACAACAAGAACCAGCTCAACTCCCTCAACCATGACAACAACCAGCTCGACTTCCTCAACCACAACAGGAACCACCTCAACCCCCTCAACAACGACAGGAACCAGCTCGACTCCCTCAACCACCACAGGAACCAGCTCAACCCCCAAAACCACAACAGGAACCAGTTCAACCTCCTCAACCATGACAAAAACCAGCTCAGCCCCCTCAACCACGATGGGAACCAGCTCGACCCCCTCAACTCGGACAACAACCAGTTCGACCCCCTCATCCATGACAGGAACCAGTTCAACCCCCTCACCCATGACAGGAACCAGCTCAGCCTCCACCACGAGAATCAGCTCAACCTCTGTGCACACAACCAACTCAATCTCCACTCAAAAACCCAGCTCCACCTCTGGCCATGCAGCCTCCTCCACACCCAAGATCCACACCAGCACCACCTCTGTGTCTGGATCCCCCTCCCGCCACAAGTTCACAGCCTCTACCTCATCATCCGGGACCACAGGCTGCAAGCCCCAGTGCACCTGGACCCCCTGGCTAGATGTGGACTCACCTGAGCCTGGGCCCCATGGTGGGGACCTGGAGACCTACAGCCACATCCTCCAGAGGGGACACAGCATCTGCCACCAGCCTGAGGAGGTCACAAGGCTGCAGTGCCGTGCCCAGAGCCACCCCGAGGTCCCCATCGCCATCCTGGGCCAGGTGGTGCAGTGCGACCGAGATGTGGGCCTGGTGTGTCACAACCGTGACCAGCAAGGGCCCGAGGGGCTGTGCCTGGACTACGAGGTGCGTGTGCTCTGCTGCCGCATGCCTGATGGATGCCCCTCAACCACAGTGACCTCCACAGTGACCTCCCACATTGAGACCTTGTCTTCAGCCCTGTCTTCAACGGTGTCCTCCAGCTCTGTGGTCCCGTCGTCCTCCAACTGTTTCTGCCATGTGTCTGGCCAGCTGTACCCCGCAGGTAAGTGGGTCCTTGTGCACTGGGAGGAAAGACTGGGTGTGATGGGTGTGGTCAGCTGTTCTCGTGGCCTTGTGTGACCGTCAGCCTTGTTTGAGCCCTGTGCCACTGACAGATATTGGCTCTGTGCAGGTTGCTGGCTGGCCTGCAGGGGGTATCTCTTCCCTGTGGGTCCTATTCACTACCCTGCATCCCTGTCTACAGGGTTGACCATATACCACCAGAGAGACCTTGACGGCCACTGTTACCATGCGCTGTGCAGCTGGGACTGCCATGTGATCAGGGGCGTGGACCCCACCTGCCCACCCCTCACCACAGCCCCCACACCAACTCCGCCCGTAACCCCGACCAGCTCCTCGGACGCCTGCCTAAATGTGGTCCCTCAAAGAAAGGTAACCTTCCTGCCTGTCTGGGTCCACAGGCCAGCACATCACAGAAGGGTCCAAGCTGGGAGGTGGCTGCTGTGGCCATCTCCCGGGTTTGGAGGGAGTGTCTGCAGCCGGTGGGATGATGGGGTCCAAGCAGGTGGCAGACACCATGATGGAGGCACAGTGAGATGGGCCTGGGTGGGGGGCAAGGGGCGAGGGGCAGCTCCCTCAGCAGTGCCTCTGCCTGCTGGCCTGGCTGGGCACCAGGACAGCCACCCTCCCTGTGGACTCCGGGGGTTGTGGGTGGCTCAGACGCTGCTGTCTTGGCCTCTACAGAAAGACGAGACCTGGGAGATGCCCAATTGCTCCCAAGCCACCTGCAAGGGTGACAACATTGTCTCCTTGAGCCCACGCCTGTGCCCGGAGCTGACACCACCATTGTGCGCCAATGGCTACCCGGCCCTGAAGGTGGCCGACGCAGATGGCTGTTGCAAGCACTACCAGTGCCAGTGTGAGCGACGGTGTGGGGAGGATCGGCCTTCTGGGGGGGGAGGGCTTCGGTCCCGCCTCACCGTGGCTATCCGGCCTGCAGGCGTGTGCAGCGGCTGGGGCGACCCTCACTACATCACCTTTGACGGCACCTACTACACCTTCCTGGATGACTGCACCTACGTGCTGGTGCAGCAGATTGTGCCGGTGTTCGGCCACTTCCGCGTGCTGGTGGACAACGACTTCTGCGACGTGGAGGACAGGGTGTCCTGTCCACAGTCCATCATTGTCGAGTACCACGGGGACCGGGTGGTGCTGACCCGCAGGCTGGTCGGTGGGGCCATGACCAACCAGGTGAGGCTGTGGTGTGGCAGGATGGGCGCCGGGGCTGCGGGGGGTACTGACCCTTGGCCACGCCCCTGCAGATCCTCTTCAACGGCGAGGTGGTCAGCCCCGGCTTCCAGAAGAACGGCATTGCCGTGTCCCGTGTGGGAATAAAGATGTACGTGAGCATCCGCGAGCTGGGTGTGCAGGTCATGTTCTCAGGGCTCATCTTCTCGGTGGAGGTGCCCTTCAGCAAGTTTGCCAACAACACCGAGGGCCAGTGTGGTGAGCCACTGTGGTGCTGCGGGCACTGGGCGAGGGCCCTGCCTCGTGTGCCTGCCCAGCCGGCTCACCCATCCTCTTCCCCAGGCACCTGCACCAATGACAAGAAGGACGAGTGCCGGATGCCTGGGGGAGCACTGGCTACCTCCTGCTCGGAGATGTCCAGGCACTGGAGGGTGGACACCCCCCAGCAGGCCTTCTGCCGAGGGCCTCCCCCAACACCCACGTCTGCGCCATTGGGCCCCTCGGCACCCACCCACCCCCAGAGCACCCTGTGTCCATCATCGCCCATCTGCGAGTTGATCTTGAGCAAGTAAGTTGCCCTTGATGGCGGCGGGGACTCCAGCTCTGCACCCCCATGGGGGCCATGCACAGCTGACCCAGCCAGCGGCTCAGCCCGAAGGCCCTTCACTAGGCAACACCCAGTTTGTTCAGCAGGGAGCGTCTACGGCTCTGCAGAGTGTGCTTGACAGCCCCTACCTCCATGGGCAGAGACCCGCTGCCCCTCCAAGGTCCCAGGCCTGGAAGCTCCACGGCGGGCCTGGCAGTGGCCAAGAGAGACAGACAGGGCTGCGCTTACCACGATATCCTGCCTCCACAGGGTCTTTGAGCTCTGCCACTCTGTGATCGAGCCACTGCCGTTCTTTGAGGGCTGTGTCTTTGACCACTGCCATGAGACGGAGGTGGAGGTGGTGTGTTCCGGCCTGGAGCTGTATGCCTCACTGTGCGCAGCTGAGGGCGTGTGTGTGGACTGGAGGGCTCACACTAATGACTCATGCCGTGAGTGCCCAGCTGGAGACAATCTGGCCTGCAGGAGGAGGAAGAGAGGGAAGAGGGCTGCCCAGGGCAGAGCCCAGTGGGCTCCCAGGAGAAGGGAGGGCGCCAGGTTGGGGACTCTGTGGCCCTGGGCAGCTGGGTGCAAGTGGTCTGGGTTGTGGAGCCTGGGCCTATCAATGGCCATGGGCAGCGCCCAAAAGTTCCTGTGAGGGTGTTGGGGCTCAGTGGCAATCAGGGCCCAGGGAGCCCAGAGGCCTGGACTGAGCTGGCCCTTTGGGTCCCCTTGCAGCGTTTCCCTGCCCTTCGGACAAGGTGTACCAGCCCTGTGGCCTGTCTGACCCGCCCTACTGCTATAGGAGTGACAACGCCAGCTCCCTGTATGTTCCACGCACCCCACCCACCCGCCACCCCGACCCACCCTGTGGGGACAGGGCACACACCAAACCTCCCTCCCCCAGGGCCCTCCCTGAGGCCAGCCGCATCACAGAAGGCTGCTTCTGCCCGGACAACCTGAAGCTTTTCAGCGACAGCGCCCTCGTCTGCGTGCCAGAAGACTGCCCCAGTATGTCCTGGGCCTCGGGCTGGGGCTTCCACCCACCCACCCCCATGGCCCATGACCTTGGTCTCTCCCTGCAGGCTGCCCTGGGCCCCATGGGGAGCCGGTTCAGGTGAGTGTGGATGGTGGCTTCTTGGGCTCCTACACCCAGGTCCCTGGAAAGCCGATGTGGAGCCCGGTGGGGACTTGGTTCCCTGTGGGGCCCAGGAAGGCACTGCCCCACAGTCCTCCTTGCTGCCTCTTGTTGTGGGTGCTGAGTCCCTCTGGCTGTGCCCTACCACTCCTGGGGCCTCTTCCCCCAGCTCTGGAACCAGCTGCCTTCTGGACCCAGCTGCCTGGATCCTGCCCCGTGCCTCTGTGTGTCAGTCTGGCTGCAGCTATCCCATCCACACAGTCAACCTGAAGGCTCATGTGTCCTCCCCACAGCCGGGCCAGGTTATCAGCAAGGACTGCCAGGAGTGTGTCTGCGACCCGCTGACAAAGTCCATGACCTGCCAACAGAAGGCCTGCCCCCCGCCACCTGCCTGCCACACGCCTGGCTTCGTGTCAGTATCCACTCTCCCCAGGGCAGGCCAGTGCTGTCCCCAGTACAGCTGCGGTAAGGCTAGGCCCTTCAAGTGGGGGGGCTGTGTCTCCTTGCTCCCAGTGACCCCAGGGACAGTGTGTGTGAAGTGGCCTGGCCCCTGATGGTGTCCCTCCCTGCACAGTGTGCAACTCCAGCTACTGCCCCAAGCTCCAGGCCTGTCCCAGGGGCTCCCACCCGGTCCTGATCCATGAGGAGGGAGCCTGCTGCCCGAGCCAGAACTGCAGTGAGTGTCCCATCCTGGCTGGGATGAGGCTGTGGAGCACCTGAGGAGGGGACAGGTGGGCGGGGCCAAGTGGGTGGCGCAGGGCGGGTGCAGCCTCTTGTCTCCCACAGGCTGGGTGGCGTGCAGCATCAATGGGACCCTCTACCAGGTGAGCCAGCCCAAGGGCCCTGGGGTCAGGGGGCCTTGGCACATTTGGGTGGCCCTGAGCTCTGAGTCCCTGGTGCCGACCCCTCCCAGAGCTACACAGGGGACACAACATCCTAAAGTCCCTTGTCCCCAGGGCCCTGAGCCCAGCGGCTGCCACCTATGGCTTCCTGGTTGTACCAGTTCAGAGTTTTGGTCATCCCAGCTGGGCCCCTAGTGACCTTTGGGCACCCTGAGGGCTGTTGTACCAGGAGGAAACAGCAAGGGCCACCCCCGGATGCGGTCAGCCTGGGGGTGGCTGGGATGTCTGGCTGGTGGGAGAGGGTGGACTCTCCCGGCCCCGGCCCAGCTCACGGAGGCCCACCCTGCCCACCCAGCCTGGCGCTGTGGTGTCCTCCAGCCTGTGTGAGACCTGCCGCTGTGAGGTGCCCAGTGGCCCCAAGTGGAACAGTTTCGTGGTCAGCTGCGAGACCAAGATCTGCAACACCCACTGCCCCATGGTGAGTGCCAGCCCCGCCCACCCCACCCCTGGTGTCCCCCGAGCTCAGGCCAGGCATCCCCCACTCCACACAGGGCTTCGGGTACCAGCCCCGCCATGGGCAGTGCTGCGGCGAGTGCATCCAGAAGGCCTGCGTTGTAGCCCTGAACGGCACTGGCGAGCCGGCCCACCTTCTCAATGTGAGTAGATGCGGCTGAGCGAGGGCGGACTCCCGCAGCTGGACAGGGCTGCCCTCCTGGAGCTGTGGGAGTGGAGGCCGTGTGGCCAAGGCCCTCACCCTGGGTGGGCAGGGCTTGGCCCGGCAGCGGTGGGTGCCAGGAAGGCTCACCCTGCCATCCGGCTCCTTCCAGCCTGGCGAGTCCTGGTCCGACCCTGGCAACCCCTGTGTGCAGCACACGTGTGAGCGGTTTCAAGACCAGCTGGAGGTGGTGACAGTGAAGAGGGAGTGTCCCCCTCTCAGCTGTCCTCGGGTGAGCTGCCCTGCCAGGGCTCCGCCCTCCCCTCCTGTGGGCCCCTGCCCTGTCCCCTCCTGGGGAGTGTCCAACGTGCCACTTGCCCTCCCACGGGACCGTGGCCCTGCCACCCTCCATGAGACCCCCACCATCTCAGAGCCGGATCCCACCCCACCCCCGTGGGTGGCCTCCCTGGCACTGACCAGCTGGTTTTTGGCACAGGCCCAGGCCCAGCTGAGCCAGGATGGCTGCTGCCTCCTCTGTCCACAAGTGCCGACTGTGCAGCCCCAAGAATGTAAGTGTCATGACTGTGGGGGCGGAGGGTGACCCTGCCCCCGAGACCTGGGAAACACGTCTGTGCTCCCCCAGGGCCCTGCACCCTGCGCCACCGCGAGCAAGTCCTCCAGCACCAAAACTGCAGCTCTGCCACGCCTGTGCGCCTCGCCTACTGTGAGGGCATCTGTGGGGAGAGCACCTCCAAGTATGGCCCCTCCCCGCCCTGGGAGTCCCTGTGCACTGGGGTGGGTGTGGTCAGGCCTGGGGGGCAGACGGGTGCATGAGGGTGGGCAGAGGGCGCCGCAGGGCAGGAGGGTCCAGCCTGGTGTGGGCTCAGAGCAGCACCCGCTTTCCTGCTCGGTCACCCCCTGTGGCTTGTGGGATGTCACAGTGGCAAGAGCTGGCAGCAGTGCAACCCAGAGCAGCTGTGCGGGCAGTGGTGGGTGGCAGGGACTGACAGCTGTGCCCGCAGGTACTCCCTGGAGGCCAACGCTGTGGAGCACAGGTGCCGCTGCTGCCAGGAGCAGCGGACCTCGAGCAGGACGGTGACGCTGCGCTGTGCGGACGGCTCCACCCGGGCCTTCAGCTATACCCAGGTGGAGGAGTGTGGCTGCCAGGGCCTGCAGTGCCAAGCGCCCACATCACGGGAGGCAGAGTCCGGGGAGAGCCAGGATCAGGGGCCCAGGCCTCCCCAGTGACACCCTCACGTCCTCTGGCCCTCGCTCCTGCCTGGCCTCACCCCCGCCCACTCCTCTTGGCCATGGCCTCCCTGAGAGGAGGTGGACTCAGCGCCAGAACAAGCTCCGGGGCTCAGGAGCTCGGCGCAGCCCCTTGGCCGGCTCAGGACTCAGCACAGCACTGGGTCTCAGGTGACAGGCACGGCCCTGTCTCACACTGGCTCAGCCTGCGCTAAGCCGCTCCTCGGGCTGGACACTCTTCATAAACACACTTGCAGCATCACACCTTGTGGACTCTGTTTGAACCTGTGCGTCCATCCTCATGGGACAGCCCGGCCCGGGGCTCAAGCCTGCATGGGCCACTGGGGCCCTGTTGCTCCCATGGTGGGGGACAGGGCCGTGCTCTGAGGGGGACAGGGGGGACCTCAGGACTGGTTGGGGAAGTGCTGCCCAGAGCGAGGAGGCACAGGGTCGGAGCACTGAGAGAGAGAGCGTGACTGGGTGAGTGGAGGGTGACGGCAGCAAAGTGACGACGAAGGGACACATGACTGAGTTGTAACCGAGCGAGCGAGGGACTGAGTGAGCGGCCTGGTGCACGTGAGAACGATTGAGTGGTGCCTGGCAGGGAGCCGGGGCCCCTCCAGCCGCCCCGCACACCGGCTCGTCTCCCACTTTCCTGGGCTCCTCCCCTGCAGGACGCCATGGGCTCCTCACGCAGCGGAGTGGGCGTGTGATGTGTGAGCACTGCACTGCCACCCCCACCCCAAGGGCCCTGCAGGCCCCTGCCACAGCCACCCTGGCCCACTTGCCTTGGTACCTGGCCCGTTCTTCCTGGAGCCTCCGATGCCCCTACTCCCATGGTTCAGCCTGGCCACATAGCGGAGCCAGGAGGGTCCACGGTCCAGAAGTGGGCATAGGGATGAGGAGGGGACCGGGTGGGGCAGGCCACTGAGCCACAGGCAGGAGTCTGGGGCCATGTCCTCACCTCTGAGGTCTTTTTCAGGGAAACTGAGGCCCAGCAAGGGGTGAACACTGGGCTTGTGTCCCCTCTGCTGTATGGCCATCCCCTCAGCCTGGCCCTGGACATCTGTCTCCACGAAGGGGGACACAGTGCAACCTGCATCCCTAGGCTGCCGGCTGTGTCCTGTGCCCTGCCCCCAGGGCTCAGCCCTCCTTTGCTCAGGTCACAGCTGACATGTTTGTACGGGGCCCTCCCTCCCCAGAGGCACACAGCTTGGGGTTCTGCAGTGACATTTCGAGGTGCCATGTGCTAGGCCCCATCCGTAGGCTGGAGGTCAGGGCACAGCTGTCCAGCCCCCCAGATGCCTGGGCCACATGAGGCCCTGACCCTGTGTGGCAGCCCTTAGGTTCTGCTGGGTGCCTGGCTGACCCCACTGTCCTCAGCTTGCCAAGGCCCTGATCCATGCTGCCCCAGGAGCGGATCAGGTGTCCCTGTGAGCTACCTCTTCCTCCCTGGTGACTAATCCTCCACCCCCTGGGCACTTGTTCCTGCCACCGTGTCCTTCCCTGCCTGGAACACGGCATGGCAGGAATTAACCCTCCGGCACGTCCCCAGGGGGGAGAGGCTGCCCTCCCGCCCTGGCCGCAGCCTGGCGGATTTCGCAAGTCATGGACTCTGGAGAATGCGAGCTGCTGCAGCCCCCACCCTTGGGGCTCAAGGGGGCGGAACGACCTGTCACCCGTCACCCAGGGAGCAGGAAGGGCAAGGCAGGGCCGCCCTGGGGAGACCACCCTTCTGGGGCTCTCACTTGGCACTAAAGGGTGGAGCGCACAGATTCACCCCAGCTCTGACCCAAGGGATTCTTGGCTGGAGGCCTGCGCTGGGCACGGGGCTCTGGGGTCACTCTGGGAGGCAGGAGAGGGGACCTGTCTAAGGGTTGCAGGGCAGGGGGAAGCTGGGGGAGTCCCCAGCAGGACATGGGGTCTGCTTCTCCAGACCAAGGTGGGACTCTCAGGACGAAGGCAAAGGGACAGGGACAGGGCGGAGGCCCTGAGATGGGCACCCACAGAGGAGACCACTGGGCAGGGTCTCTTTCCAGAGAACACATGTCGGCAATCCTGGTGACTGAGGCGTGGCCTGTGGGAGCTGTTCGTAAGCACCTGGATCTGTCGTCCAGAGGATGGGGCAGGGAGGAGCCTACAGGCTGTGCCCCCATGGCAGGAACCACTCCTCCCCTTCTCCACATTCACCATCCTTGTCACGGTGACTTGATTTACCTGCTGGCGACTGCCCTGCCCTGCACTAACCACCCGCCTCCTGCCCCAGCACAGCTCCCTGATGAGAGCTCCCCCTGCCGTGCCCCACGTCTCCGTGCCTGAGTCCCCAGGCAGCCCTGGCTTGGGCAGTGTGGGGTCCTCAGGTAGGGTCTGGAAGCCAGCCCTCTATTCACTCCATAGTCCTTCCCAAGCTGGGCCATGTCCCAGTGTGGGTGACTGGCAGGGCCAGAAAGGAAGTGTCAGCACTGTGCCTGGGCCTGTGTCCCTGGGAGAGATGGGCTCTGTGGTGGGAGCTTTGCCTCCCTTCCTGGGCATGCAGAGGACTAGAAAGTGTGCCCTGGCCAGGCCTGGTGCTCCTTTGGCCCTGAGACCAGGTAGGTGGGCTTGGCAGGGATGGGGCCAGCAGGGCCTGGGTGTGGATGCCCGGCAGTTTTGGTGCCAGGCACCTCTGTCAGCAATGGGCCACCGGGATGGGTGGCCTCTGCTACCTCAGCCCTTCTGCAAATCCTGCGGTACTGAGTCAACACTGGGTTTCCTGGAGGGAAGGGAGGGCCTGTTTGCCTGCTGACACTTGGCACCTCTGTCCCGGGACAGGACACTGCACCCTCTTTGTTTGCTCTCCTGAGGGCTGTCTAATCCTGAGCAAACGTGGTGGCCTCCATGCACACCTTCCCCATGTCCTGTGGAGACTCCACCAGACCCAGGCCTCATCTTAGGGTGCAGGGCAGGGAGGAGAGGGGACAAGGCACCCAGAACCCAGGACCATCTGGGACTCCATGCACCTGCCCCAGGGCCAGGCCACATCATGGTCCTGTACTCTGCTGCCAGAGACAACACCCCTCCCCACCTGAGTCCCTCTCCTCCTTTCACTCACCCAAACTCACCTCCATGAATTGAGGCCAGCAGCGGCCCCTGTCCGATCTCCCACTGGTCAGCTCTTCAAATCACAGCCAGCACCCATCCTTCTAGGGACCTTTGTCAATTTATAAAGTTGCAGAAATAGAACAAAGAGCCCGGGTGCTTTCTATTTGATTCACCCTTGCACACTGTTCGGTGTGAGTCACTGTTCACGTTTGCTCTTGCTCTGCACCCACATAGTTTTCAAATCACTGGTGTTTTACAACCACGCCCCTTTGACCCCAGATATGAGTGTGTGTCCTGGTGTCAAACCCAGAGAGCACATTGCCATGGCACTGCAGCCCCACACCCAGCTGCACCTGTCACAGCTGCTCACTTTCTACCCCAGTAGATGCAGGCTCACAGGCCACAGGAGTCCTCTTTTTAGTCTCCTCCCACCTGGACTCTGTCTTTTGACCTTGGCCTTGTGAGGAGTGTGGTGGGTTACGCTGGGATGCACACTTCGGCGGAACTCAGCATAGCCATCTTTCCCAGCTCCTCGTGTCTGGAGGCACGTGATGCCAGGTGCCCACCTTTCTGGCTTGGTTCAGGGCTTCTCCACTGGGCGGGCACTACTCCCTGGGGAACTAGAAAGGACCTCCTGGAGGTGCTGGGCCAAGAGCTCTCATGCCCTCAGTCTGCCCACAGCGACTACTCAGAGTGTCCACCAGGTTTCCTTGTTATCCTGCTGTCAGAGGGCTTACTCTTCTCTCCCATTTATTTATTTATTGCTTTTTCATTTTATCTCAGTATAGATCCATCAACTTCTATTTTCAGAATGGATCTTTTAAAGGTAAAAATAATACAGCAAAAGAAAAAGCCATCTTCAAAAGAGAGAAAGGTTAGAGGGCATTTCAACCCACTTTTGTGTCACCCCCAGGGCGTGGTCAGTTTGGTTTCCCCTCACAGTACCAGTAGGTCAGAGGAGGTGGAGGAGGCCAGCCTTGCAAATCCCATGCCATGGTCCTGACCCAAGTGGTGGGCATTTGGAGCACTTACACAAAGCACCATCTGTCTTGCTGAACTTGAAACTCAAGCAGTGAGTGCACTGCTTGGAACAGTTTCACCTCCTACAGACCCACAGCATCCTGGGATGAGAAGTAATAGGTGGAGATATCCAACAGACCATCAATGGCCTAGACAGGGTAAGAGTTGGAAAATCAGGACATCCATGAACATCCCCTTGTACACAGGGGACTATAGAAAGCTGCAGTCATGCCCAGGCAAGATCACATTTCTGGCTGGTCAGATGAGCCAATCTCAGTGTCAAAAGATGGGAAATCTGGAGAGGTGTCTAGTGTTAGAGGAAACCTGTCAGAACAGGAGTGGTAATCAAGGTGAAAGAAGAGTCTTCAGTAGCCCATGAGAAAAGGAATTTCTGGAAAACAAGTCTGAAAACATCTAAAAAGCAATGGACTTCAGTCAAGCATGGTGATGTATGCCTGCAATGCTAGTACTTGGGAATCTGAGGCAGCAGGATCATGAGCCCAAGGCCAGCCTGGGCAATTTAGTAAGACCCTATCTATAGAAAGAAGAAAGAAAGAAAGAAAGAAAGAAAGAAAGAAAGAAAAGTATTGATCACTACAGTCTTCAACAATAAAAAAGAAAGGGAAAAGAGCAGCAAATGCTAAAGAAGGGACAGAATCCAGCTTCCAGGCTACCATATTGTAATAGTCACATCCAGATTTTCAACAAAATAGTACAAGGCTTATAAAGAAGCAAAACAACATAGCTCATTTAAAGGAATAAGATAAACCATAGACAAAGACTGAAAGCAGCTATTATGAACACAAAGGCACACAAAGCCAGAGGACATCAGTTTAAACAGAACACGTGCAAAGTGAAAGGTTTAAAACAGAAAAAGAACCAAAAAGAAATTGTAGAGCTGATAATTATGACAACTGAAACAAAAAAATCCCTGAAGGGGCTCAGAGTCATACATGTGTAGGCAGGGAAAGATGGTGAACATGAAAGGGTATTAAATTATCTTCTCCGGAGAGGAGAAAGAAGAAATAACTGAAGAGCCGGGC